CAGAATTCCCCAGCCAGCATGGCTGGCTGGAGAATTCTGGGAGCTGAAGTCCACACATCTTCAAGTCGCCAAGGTTGAGGAACCCTGGCAAAGATGAATTACAAGATAGATAAATTTGTTTTTAGATGCATCCATAAAGCTCCTACTTTGCAGGTCCACAAAAACCCTAAATATGGTATGATCACACCTAATGATCAGAAAATGATAACAATGATAATAATATTAGTAATTTTAATCATAATAAATCTATTTGCTGGAGACACAGTTGTCTGCTCAGTCAGACATGACTAATGGTTGCAAATGGCAAAACCATACACCGTTAGACTGACTTAAAAGTGATTATAGACAGAAAACAGATTCGTTGGCAAGATAAAAAGATATAAATTGCATATCCCAGGTACCAAAAGAACATCATGAACTTTAGCACACCTAAGCAAGTCAGCCATTTTTGGTAATGCTACTTTAAATATCAGAACAGAAATACTCAAAGCCAGGCAACCCTGAAAACCAGACCCTGATATTTGGAGAAGTATTTTCATAACACTATGTAATATTATTTTTGATGGGGCACAGTATAACAAATGTTTTAAATAAATAACAGTTATTTCTTTTTTTGGAGACTCTGTTTGCACAGTGCATTAAGCTGTAATATAGATTATCTGGAGTTAGCATATTGTACAATCTTACTCTAATACTTCAAACTTTATTAATAAAAGATAAATTACCAGTGGATGTGATAAATCATACATAAAGTTTAGTGAGCAGATTGGATTTTAGTTTTCTTCATCTCTTTCCTGACTTTCTTACATTGGTAAGATTTTGTTATTATTATCAGGAAAAATACGATTAATGTAATTGTCTTTCCTTCCTCATCATCCCATCCCCATTGCTGTATATCAATGATTTGTTGGAGTTCACTTTTCAACAATAGATATACACTATTTGGACTACAAAAGTCCAGATGACCATGGATGCTTGCACTGAGTGGTTCTTGGATGGTACACCCCAGATATGGAACGCCTACTCCGCACATATACAAAGGACATAGTTGCTCCTATCTACAGGTGAGTTAGTCATTGGGAAAGACTAGGTATGCTACTCTAACCATGACCAGGATTAATCAAGCACTCATAAGCACTTTTGCCTTGAGGGATCAGCAGATGTCTGTGTCAGGTTTGCATCCAATCAAGCCAGACTGGAACCACTGAGGGAAGGTCACAAGAACCTGATGAGCAATATTTATTGAAGAAAGTCAGGAAGTATTCCAGCAAGCACAATGATTCCAGGACTAGCCCTTTTTGTAGAAACAATGTTCAAATCCTCTTGCATTTCATTTTCCATCTGCTCTGTATAATGGATTACTTGGCCGCCTCTTTTAAGCAGACTGGCCTTTGTTTCTGCAGTGGTCAGACTTATTCACATCTTGTTTGATTTTTATTACTGATAGTGTGAGAATTAATTTTCACAGGTCAGAGAAGAGCAAGGAAGGGCTATAATTCCCAAGAAGGGACAGTCAAATATAATCACAGTCCCTATAATTTCTGTTGCCTGAAGTGGAGGCATGAACATGGGATGAGCACTTGGGCAACACTCTGTTCCTTCCATTATGCAAGCACACCTATTTATTCAGTATTTCATACTTTGATGGCTGGTGTGGGTCTTCCGGGCTGTGTGGCCCTGGTCTTGAAGTTTTGTTTCCTAACGTTTTGCCAG